AATACGCATGGGCATATAAAAAGAACAGAGTTTCGAAAAGAAATAAGATTTCAAATATTAAATCAATAATTTTGTGCAGATCTATCAACACATGTGTAGCTGCTAATTGACACATGTATGCTTAGGATGTTACCTAATTCGAATATGTGTTACCTATTTTGATAATGTGTATATGAGAGAAGGGAGTAAGCAGCATATGAGCAAATTAATTATATTGCGTGTGTATATCAAACGGAAGTCATTTTAGAGAGGATTACTCTTATCGTTGTTTCAGACTGGAAGCCGAATAATCAAAGTTCTTAAGGAGGCGGGGTTGAATTAGATTAAGATTCCAATGCGATTCTATTAAGGATGAGACTTTTAAACTTAGAAACAAAATGTTCAGCCTTTCTACGGAGCCTGGGAACGATGTACACAATAAAAAATATGATATAAACATTTAGTTTTGAAATTTCTCTCTTTTATTTCAGATTGAATTATGCTTTGAATAATCAAATTAATAATGCTAATAAACCTCGTCAAAAGCCAAATAATGATAAGAAAATGTCAAATTTTGTTACACTCCTCTGTCCAGTAGGATTAAAATTAGGGAAAACAAAACATTTATTTAATTTTTTACATTTATAGGCAAAATTAAGTATTGTCTGCAACTTTGCGTTGACCATATGAAATTCTTTTATATAATTACCTTGTAGTTACAAGTCAGTATATTATATCTATGTAAGTAACATTCATTCATCTTATATTCATAACCATTTCAAAATTTCTACAATAATTCGAGCCCTATGAAAGCGAACCATTGCCCGCATCTATCTTTACAAATCATACACAACTTTGTGTTTATTTGACGGTAAAAAGAATATTTACAAATATATCATAATATAAAGTTATTTGTACTGCCTTATTTGATTGAGTAAAGAAATCAATTTCATACTTCTGCAAATAATGACATATATTATTTATTATACGTAGTCTCATCAATACAAATGAAACATACATAAATATACAATGAGAACAATATATAGCCATCCATGTTCTAATTCTTTTATTTTTCGCCGATTTTAGATATCGAGTTCGCGAGTCTTTCATACCAACATGCTTTTATGTGCGTTAGACAATAAGTAATAAAAGAACTTAAATATTTCGAATGTGAACATTGAAAGAGTAGAAAAAAACATTATTTTTTTTTAATTTGAAATAATACGCATTTTAAAAATATTTTAAGGGACCTTAATGATCGTGTGATACTACCATTTAGCTGCAAATACAATAACTTATTGTTACACTAAAACATTAAAGGTGTTGTGTTTGTACTATCGTTATACAGATCATTTTAAAGCATACCTTCCTTGATTATATCTCATAAATCAAAAGAAAAATAACAAAGTAAAAATATTGTTAAAAAGCAAATAAAACCCATCTTGATTATATTGGAGACACCTAGGCTATGTTCGGGTTTTCTAGTATTTAAATAAGTTTTGCACTATTTAAAACAGTGTGCACGTTAGACTTTGTGCAATTTCTCTTACATCCAATACATGTACTTGATGTCATTTTTATAACTACGTAATATTTAAAGACATACATGTAAGTATTACAATTAAATGACATTTTATCGCTTAAATATCCCCTTAATCCACGGTTATACTCACTGCACAGCTAGCTAGAGCTATATTTGGTAGAATTCTATAGCAACCCGTCTGCCAAAGACCTGAACTTGGCGTATACTCAAATAAAGCTGAGGTACGCCACTGACTTTGTATTCAGACTTAATTTCAATTCTCAAGACTGGCCAAGTTTAGATAGTCTACACTGTCACCCTCTTGATTGTTGCGTTATTGCCGAAAACGCCTGCAGAATTATAAAAAAACACGGATATCGGGGTAGTACTGCTCATTAGCCATTGATAATATGTCTATTTGTGTCCCGCAGCTATACATCGCCTTGGGGCTTGAGAGATGTTGACCTTTTTTATGATCTCTAAATTAAACTAAGTCTGCAATTGTCATGTAATCTGCTGATTTTAAAGCTGCATGCCTCCTGATGAGCAAAAAATATTTAGATAAAATCAAACCTGAGAAAAATGTACCAAGATTTTTACACGCCATCTACGATTAATGACCGAATTTTTCAGTATTTATAACTATATTTCTACTGCGTTACTAACGCAGTAAGGGCTATTTTTGCATAGTTTGAACTCTTATTAGTAATTAACATAGGCTGCAAATACCATTGACAATGTGTAAATTGCATTCTTTTGTAACTTTTCAATATTATACTGTTAAATACATTTTAATATTTTCATGAAAACCAGCATGAATCTGGAGGCGTGCTGTTTTAATGCTTCTAGGAGATCTTTTTTTCCAGCTATTTATAAATCACAACAACAGGTTTCAGTACGGTGTGGCAGTCGTAAAAATTGCCCGAAACTTCACTCATGTATTTTAATGTTTTTCAAGTCCTTCGGAATCATTGATTCCAGCAATTTTTATTGTTGAAAAATTGAGTACCGCTTAAGTCGGTGCTAGGGGGTGTGAGGGGTGTATAATTTCTTCATTATCTCTAATTTACCAACTCAATCAAACCAAGGCTGCAATTTTTATCAATTTCTTCAATATGAACTTACCTTGAATTAAAAAAATACTCGTGGAGATCGGGTCAACTTCTGATTGAATCTGAGTATTTTGTTGCTCATCGTTTATACTGATGCTAAAATTAAGCATCCGCAATCACTTTATTTAACAGACACGTTAATTGGACCCTTGGACCCCTTCTCTTTGTAATTTATGTAAATGATATGTCAGCTGTGGTGAAAAATAACTCGCTTTTATATGCTGATGATTCTAGTATCCTTGTATCTGGTAAAACCTAGTCAATTTTATTGGGGTCCAGGCAAAAGCTTAGGTCACAATCTAACCTGCATATAACCTGTTCTGGTACATACATTGAATCAACTTCATCTATCAAGTATCTTGGGATTACTATAGACAATTTCCTCCATGGCCGAGTCTGTTCTTAAGAAGGCCAATTCTCGGTTAAAATTTCTTTACCGCAAATAAGAGTTTCTTACTCAGCATACCAAGAAACTAACTTCTGGTTATGTCTCTTATTCAGTGTCACTATGATTATGCATGCTCTGTTTGGTAAATTGCTTGACACAGTCTTTAAAAAATAAGTAACAAACTCGTCAAGATTTGTACTTGACTTGGATTCCAGAGCCAGTATTAACCCATCCCACTTTAAGTCCCTTAGCTGGTTACCGGTTCACAGAAGAGTTGAACAGATAATGTTGTGTCATGTTCTTAAGATAAAAAATGGCCTGTCTTCGGATTACATGTCTGAACACTTTTTTTTCGCAAGATTCCGTACATAATTATAGTACAAGACTTAGTCAAAAGGGTGGGTATTGTCTACCTAAGTTCAAAGGTCAGGGTTCTAAATCCTTTGCTTTAAATTATGGAATGATTTACCTGTAGAGTTAACGGAGATCAACAGGTTACAAAGTTTTAAGGTTGCCATCAAAAGTCATCTTATTACTATGTTTTTACATATTTCGGTTCAGGATTTTAAATTGTATGCTAATTATCTTTTTACAATTTTAGTAATGTGTTTTAAATCCTAGCTGTAAACAGGAGTGTCATTAAATCAAGATTTGACTGTGATATACATTTTTATGATTTATTAGTATTTTTAAACATGATTATATTTAGGTCTGCCTCTCTATTTCATGTCGCCAATACAAAGGACCACAATAGAAATATGAGCTTTTTTGCCCTTTTTTGTGTTATCCTTGGTGTTGGTGAGCATGTCATAGTTTTCTTGTATGTGATTTAGTATTTAATAATGCTCATTATTTTATCCTATGTTATGCTGTCAACTATGTATTTGCTTCCTGTGCCGAAATAAATCTATCTATCTATCTTAAAACACATGTCTCTGATAATAATTTAAATATTATAATAAATAATAAAAAGTTTTTATTTTAGCGAGATCCTTTATTTTTACTATTACTTTTACTTTTACAAGTCAAAACTCTCGCTGTTCCCAACCTGGTTTGTAATATATATCAATTGAGTTTAGAAGATACAATTTTGATTGCAAATGCGTTTTTTTAGTTAAGACATTTTTGTGGGAATGTCGGTGCACTGGGAACAAACGATATTGAAGCAAAGTCCTTATCTGTCTTTGTAACTCTAGTTATTAATGTTTAAGTTACACATCCGTTTTTCTGTGAAAGACAACTAAAATCAAAGTCGAAACCGAAAGCAATTGAAAATTATTTTAGTATTACTTTTCTCTTTAAGTTAAATTTTACATTTCAATTCACAAATATTTTAATTGTCGCTTTTTTAAGATAAAGAGATAACTCTGAATGGGTTCGAAAGTAAAATATCCTTAAGCATTTACAAATCTTTCATTCACGTCATCTCTATTAACCTACACGAGACTCCTTGGGTTGCTTAATACATGGGACCACGTGTATCAAGCTGTTGTTTAAGACCCCGTGGCAAAATAACTAACCAACTTGAATAAAGTGAAAAGAAAGAAGAAGTTAAACACTTCGTGGTCAAAAAAGCTTACCACATAATCCAAGACGCCTTGCACAAATAATGGACAATAACTCGAGTGTGCTATCCTAGGGGATGATTTAACACTCTCGCACTCCTTGCAACTATAACACTTCATGACAACAAACTTTTTGTATCGCAGTAAAAAAAATAATAACGTACGACATTAATTTTACAATTATCATTTTATACTTCTGTTTATTTACTTATTCGTTTATTTATTTATTAATTAATTAGTTAATTTATTTATTTATTTATTTATTTATTTATTTATTTACTATGTAGTTTTACTAACGAAACCCTATCGTTTCGAACGAATGATGAAAATATTTGAATCGTCAAGTAAAGTGATTGTTTACATAAGATTTAAAAACATTCATTGAATAATGATATAATTTAGTGAAACTTGACTCAAGTTGTCTAAATATAGAAACAGCTCAAATGTACAATTACGTTTAAAGGTCGGTTATTGAGATTTATAACGAAATAACTGACTACATTTTAAACAGTTACATAGTAAATGTTTTGGAGATAAACAGTTAAACATGTCTCGCGGGATTATTTTTGTTTTGCCTATCTTGGTAATATGGTGGGTTAATATATCATGTAGCGTTTCAATTGAAAATGACAATACCGACATTCTGAAGAAACTCGCAAAGGATTTTCAGAAAATAAGAGATAAAAAACAGTTCGCTGTTTTGTATATTCCAAACAAAAATGCTGTGAACGGGAAAGTGGACTATCGACCAACATATCCAAACGTCGTAAAAAGCGTTGTATATCCGCCAATAACAGAGGAGAATAAAAAAAGTAAGTCATATCCATTTACATACAGTGGAATGACTCCAGACTACGGAGGAAAATCGTTTGGGAAATATCTTGGACGGAATACTGTACAAAATATTCATACCGAGGACCTGGCATTAAATTTGGTCTTTCCTATGATGAAGAATTGGTTTCATACTGCAAATATGGGTCAAGTGTCTCGGGTGTACCTGTACTCATATTTTCTACCTTGTCCGGACTGTACAAACATTATACAAAATTTCTTAAATGCAAATAAGGGAGTCAGTCTATATATTGGATTTTCTCAATTGCTAGGAGGGTATCCCAATGAAACACCAGCCGATGCTAGAGCTAGGAAATTTAAGTTACAAAATATCATCAAAAACAGGGGCTTTCTGTACGACTTGGGTTGCAACATATTTAAAAAGCGTCGTAGGCGAGATCTTGATGACATATGTAACTTGCAGATGAGTGCCGGAATATTCTCCTTACTGCTTAACTTTTCAGATGGTACCGCGTCGGTCTTAATTGACGGTCTGTCTAATGCAACAGTTTACCTGAAAGATAAGAACAATAACGTTTTAGAGTCAAGAGCTGTCTCCGATATTGAAATAAAACATGTATCATTTGCAGATATTTACATGACCGAGGGTCATTATGCTGTATTACACAAAGAAGAAAAGAAGATTAAACTTCAAACAGAACCGTGGAAACAGTGCGGTTTCGCCCGGAACGTAATGTATCATTTACCGGATAACTATGGAGAAACGAACATTCAATTACACATTCTAGATGGTTCACCTTCTGTTTGTCTTCAAAGCAAAAACTTTGATATCATGAAAAATGATAAGATATTAATTGAAGGACTAAATCAAACTTACTCTCCTATTGAAATAACAAATGCACACGTTCGACAGTTTACGGTGTCTGGATCGAGGAACACACGTTGCTTCTCATTTTCCCGACTAAGCAAGAGATTTTCTCGTGGATTTCGGGCTAAGTTTACGGTTTGTTATTCTAACAGCACATGCACATACGGAGGACTGTATGAAAATGCTTCGCCATTCTGGACACCGGAAACGTGTTATTGTGGCAAGTGTTATGGTTCTGAAAAAAACCTGATCGGATCTGCTGGCCTAGCCCATGATGTCATTACGTCACAGTTTCTTTTGCTACTCGCTAATTTCCTTCACTTGGTTTTTGCTTACGTACGTTAAAACTGCATATGTTTAGATGAGCGAACATATTTCAAGAAATAATGAAAATGTACCCAGTTGATAAATTCAAGATTCAAGTCGGCGTTTTTATTACTAGGAGTCATTTACTCAATGATTTTGGCTGTGGCTTCCAAAATGAAATGCTTTTCCTTCTTTATCTATATAATGTGACTTCCAATGTCAGACAAGAAGTTCATGTAATAATAATAACTGATTTTTCAATCTTTATATCCATATTGCCAAACTGTGTTTGCAAATCTTGACATCGTTTTTGTAATGTACATTGATTGTAAGTGTCGTTTGCAATGTGTAAATTACTGTCTTTGTTCACTTCACAATTTCTACTTAAAAATACATTTTCAAAATTGTCATGAAAATTTAGCTGAAATGAATCTGGAGGCTAGTTGCTTTATTTCTTTAACCTATTATAGATGAATTAGATGTCCCATTTTGTCACATCTAGAGTTTCTTTGGAGGTTTTTCTTTGCATATGTTGTCTAATTATGTAACGATGAATGATTGTTTAAAATGCTTTATTAAACTGTATGTCTTTTGTCTTATTTTCTTTTGTTGCGTTAATTTTTTACTTCTTTAGAAATGGCAAAAATGAGTTTTATAATGTTTAAATAATGGTTAAAAATCCTGTATGTTTTACTTAATGTTGTTACCACGCTTAAGTGAAATTATAAAAATGTATCTAATTATGCCAATAAAACAATTTTCAAACATTGAAGAATATGAAAAATATGTATTGCAAAAATTTGTGCACATTATATGTAATCATTAAAATATATGCATTCATTTCTTATTGGAAAATTTGACATAGACTTTATAGAAAATAAATTTCTAACCAACTCCCTTTATTTACATGAAATGTTAAATTCAGTATTATTTTTATAAATAATGCTTTTGGAACTTACAGTATTGATAAATCTCAATTTGAGCATGATATTTATGATATAAAACCATAAAAAGTTTGTTACAGGATTTTTAAATGTCAAGGTAGTTGTATGATAATAGCAAAATGAAAACACTTCCATGTAAAATACTTAATCACTTTAGTGGAACTTATTGCCAAAAGGCAACAGTAAAAAAGACAGGAATCAGGCATTCAACCAATGAGTAACCTTTTAGAAACTATGAAAGTAAAAAAAAAGTGAGAAATAAGAATAAAGGCATTCCTGTGGCATAATCTTTGGTTTTCTTTTTAAATTCATTGGTATATTAATGATAGCAGCAATGTTTTTGTTAGTTAAGAGACCTAATTTTTTAATTTCATTTTTGAATTGTGTCATAACTGCGGTAAAAGCAAAACTGTCACTACTTTTTGTTAGATTGATGTGATTTATTTGTAACTGTTCAGTTTTATTTGCATAAGGACATATAAATACAAATAGTTCATTAATTTCCAGCAGGACCATATTTGACATTGCATTTTATCACAAAATGTGTGTTTATATAATTTCGCTAATGTATATTCATGTGTACTTGAAAAAAACATCATACATTTGAATTAAAACCTTGTACATTCTCATCTTTGTTCATTTAAACTTACCTTGACTTAAAAAAATACTCATGGATATCAGGTCAACTTCTGATTGAATCTTAGTATGTTTTGCTCATCGTTTAAAATGATGCTAAAATTAAACATCCTGGATCACCTTATATAGAAGAGATATAAAAACACATGTCTCTGGCAATAATAAAGTTTTATGTTAGCGAGAACCTTTATTTTAACTAATTACTTTTACAAGTCAAAACCTCAATGAGATGTGACTTGTAATATATATCAATTAGACTTTAAAAGATACAATTTTGATTGCAAATGATATATTTTAGTTAAAATATTTTTGTGGGAATTTAAGCATGGTCCTTATCAGTTTTTGTAACGTTACTCTCATGCTCTAGTTATTAATGTTAATGTTACATATCTGTATTTCTAAGAAAGAAAACTAAAGTTAAAAGTCGAAACCGAAAGCAATTATAAAAATTATCTTTGTATTTTGTTCTCTTAAAGTTTAACGTTTAAATTCACAAATATTTTGTTCGTTGCTAACATAGATATAACTCTGATGGGATTAGAAGGTAAAACGCCCTTAAGCATTTATAAATGTTTCATTCACATCATCTTCTTGTAATCACTAGGCATATTTATAGGCCTACCCAAGAGTATGTGGGTTGCTTATTAAATACCTTGAACCACGTGTATCAGGTCGTAATTGAAGACCCCGTAAAAAATGGCCAATCAATTGAATCACGTGAAAAAAGCAATTAAACACTTCGTGGTCAAATAACAGCTTACCACATTGGATTATGTGGTAATATTGTAACTTAAGACACCGTGGACAAAAAATGGCTTAGCACCTTGGACCACGTAGTTACTATAGTAATTTTATACCAAAATTTTTTTTTTCAGTTTAGCAAGTATATATTAAAGTGACAATAACTCGAGTGTGCTAGTTCTCTATTCCCTCGAGCGTGCACGTCGATGAGAGCACGGGACATGTACATCATTTTTTTATAATTATATTTATTCATTTATTTATACATTTACTATTTTGTAATACTGACGAAACCCGTTAGTTTTAAAGAGGTCAAAATATTTAAAACATCAGATGATTGAATCACCGCAATTCAGTGAAATATGACTAAACGTGTCTAATTATAGAAACAACGCATAGTATACATTACATTCGAAGATCCGTCATCCATTGAATCACCGTAATTCAGTGCAACATAAATTGGGCATTGGGCTTATATTATACTAAATACGGCCAATATGTTTAACATTTACAAAGTTTATATTTCGGGGATAAACAGTTGGAAATGTCTCGCGGGACTATTTTTGTTTAACCTATTTTGGTGATATGGTGGGTTAATATATCACATGTAGCGTTTCATTTTAAAATTGATGCTACTCATTTTTCCGACTAAGCTATGATTTTTCTCGTGGATTTCGGGCATATTTAAGGGTGTGTTATTCAACCAACAAGTGTACATATATATTTATACTTTATTTTTGTCTCATTCGTATACATACATTTTTATACATATTTACAAATATTCACTTAAAATCTGCATACGACCATTCTATTTAAGAATTTCAAGAGACATTATATCAATGATAAACATATTCAAGACCTATTACAGTTAGACTAAGATTACAATGTACGGAGGGTTATATGACAACGCTTCGCCACTATAGACACCAGAAACGTGTTACTGTGGCAAGTGTTATCGCTCTGAAAATCAAAGCACAGAAGGCGCTGAATTTGTTTAGGTCTCAGAGTGTCAGAAAGGTGAAGGTTGTGAGATTATAAACCAATTTGTTTTTGCATAGTGCAATCAATGCTGTTTCCATTGTTATAACTGTAGTAAATTGGCTATAAGACTAATTGATTTATTTGGCTTAAAAAAGATGCCTTCACTGGGATTTGAACTCCAGACGCGTCGCTTCTAAAGCGAGCGTGTAAACCCCTCAACTACGGGGAAGTTATCAGATAACAGTCTGAAGAAAACCATATTATTCTAAATTAGGTTTTGTAACCCTTATTTATTTCGATATATTTTGTTCACGGTAAACCCGTTGTTTATCACTCATGTAAACAATCATGGTGCTTAATTTAAGCATGTATATCTATAAAGAATAACACAATATTAGAAATCTTCAACCAATCGGGAACTATTTTTCTTCATCGAGATGGCTTCAAAATTAATGCGCCTGTCATTTGACAATCTTTACGCAGTGATCTCCCTTTAAATTTTTTCGGCGTTAGTGTACATATAAAAAGAAGTAACCGCTTCGAGGAGTTTGGACTACTTTCGGTATTTGCAAATAAGCACATTAGGGTCTGAAATTTCGTTACCATTATTTGTTTGGTCTGACGACCTAAACAAATAAAAACTGATCGGATCTGCTGGCCTAGCCCATGAGTTCATTACGTCACAGTTCCTTATGCTACTCGCTTATTTCCTTCACTTGTTCTTGTTAACGCACGTTTTAGCTGCTTGCCATCAGATGAGCCAAACTTTTCCAAGAACATGAAACTTGGGAAAATATACCAAAGTTTTCAGAGATGTTGAAAAATTCAAGATTCAAGTTAGGGCTTCCACTACTGAAAGTTTGAGAATCATTTACTCCATGATACTGGCTGTGACTTCCAAAATGAAATGATTTTCCTTCTTTACCAATATAATGCGATGTCCAATGTCATATAAGAAGTAAAATGTGTTCATGTTATGTACGAATAATGACTGATTTTGCAGTATTTATCTCCATATTGCCACTGCTTTTCTAACGAAGTACGGGCTGTATTTGCATATTTTGACATCTTTCTTGTAATGTACTTGGCATGGAATGTAAGTGTCGTTTGAAATGGTTTTTCTTCACTTCACAATTTCCTGCTTTGAAATACATTTTCAAAATTTTCATGAAAATCAGCATAAATATTGAGGCTAGCTGCTTTAACTCTTATACCTATAGATGAATTAGATGTCCCATTTTGTCACTTTGAAGCTTTTTCATTGATTATGTTGTCTAATTATGTAACATTGTACGACTGTTTAAAATGCTTTTTTTATCTGAACCATTTTTTCTTTTTCTTTTTTTTCTTTCTTTTTTTCTTTTTTTCAAAATGTTGATTTTTTATTTACTCCGGTAAAATAAAACATGTCACTTTTTGTTATGTCATTTTTATCCTGTTTTTTACATAAAGATACAAAAATGTCATTGAATTCCAACTAGGCCATATAACATCGTTACCTTAGTGCAATAACTGATCCCCTCCTATTTAATTTAGGACTTCAGCTGTTACTGCACTAAAGTGACGATGTAGAACCAAATTTAGCATTGTACTTTATCATTAAACTTGTGTTTATATAATTTTGCTGATGTTTATGAATAAAACAGCATACATAATTATAAACTAAAATCTTGTATATTCTCATCTTTATGACGAAAAAGGAATTAATTGAGCATAAACACCATTTACTGGCCAGAACTATTAGATTTTTTTTACTATTCTTTCAGTAAGGCTTTTTTTAGCTCAATGCAGAATGGGCATGCGTGAAAGGTTGCATCCGTTTCTAAGGAAATATCGTAATGTGTCTTTTAACACAATTTACTAGCAAAGAACCATTAGAACCTGCTCTCACGCTTTAACCAACAAGATCGTACAGAATTTAAAATCATGACAAAATAACTTAATGACTAAAAGTTCCAAAATCATATTGTCGTGTTTGCTATTCCACAGACACGCATGATTTCCCATGTTTGTGATTTTGTTCTGTATATTGCTGATGGTGGATGTGTTGTTAGTTTTTCACACCGGGTGGCGGCAGTAAGACTCATTGAATTTGCCATAGTTCAGCCATTGCATCGTTTCTGGGCATGCTGTCAAACAGTAACCTTCACTTTCGCAAGGAACTGATTACTTCTATGACCGTACAAAGGATTTGATCAATGATTATATGATCAATCAAAATGGAAGTGGATTGCACCGTCCGGGAATCGTACCCGGGTCGTCCAGTAAGCGGACGTCTCTCTCCGTATAGTATTGCTTTAAAACAAATCTTCAATTTACGTAGACCCGCATACCATACTTGATAAACGGAAAGAAATTAACCGATATTGGAATGTCAATGTCAACGTTTTTATCATTATTTGATTTAATAGTCCATATCCTGGTGTAAAGGTGTGGTGTAGAGGTGCGGTGTAGAGGTGCGGTGAAATGTACAACTGTAATTATTAGCGCGTGATATCTGAAGATATTATCTTAAATAAACTTCAAGGACGAAATGCATTTATGCAGCGTTAGCAAGTCGATTATTAAATGAGAGAACAGAACGCTTGAAAACAATAAAACCGAATATTTTAATGTTGTTCCATATAATGAATCATAATTGACAAGGTAATAAAATCCAAGGACTAGTATTATGAGAAATCAAATTATTTTAAAATTGACTTTAAGCTTTATATTGTAACAGCCAAATGTTTAGTGGGCAGCCTGGCAGCGACTTCAACCAGGTCCCTGGCTTTATCAACTAAGCTACCTGGCCACTTAAACATTTAATTCATATTTAAATAGATATTCAAATTTTTTTTTCTATACAGGATTTATTTTAATTGTGTGGTATGAAAATAAATATTTTTTCATGAGTGGCGGTAGTGAAATATAATAATTGTCAGAACACAATATGAAAATAAATCCTATATTTATAGAAAAAAACTTTAATTTTCTGTTTATTACATACATTTTTTTTTCCTATGACAATACAATTTCAAAGACTTCCCTTTATAATTTTGCCTACAGACTGAATTTAGAAGAAAGCAGTGTGGCAAGACATCAGTGAAAATATTGAAAATAAGAAAAATATGCAGTGAAAAATATTTTTTTACAATGAAATATGGAAAATGAAAATAAGCATATAATTTATCAATATTATTCATTTACAAGTTTATAATAAACAGGCGTGTATAACCATAAAGTAATTGTTTTGTTATTTTAGTTTTCGTTTCAAGTGTTAAGCGCCTTTCTTCAAACAGTTATTCATTTCTAGTTCTATATAGGTGGTGTAGTTCTAACCAGAACCGTTCACTGAAAGTTTACACCGCAAGTATTAGACTAATCATCTTCCTCTTGTGTTACCATAAGTATGTAACAAACCTTCATTGGGTAAAAACTTGTAGTATATCTTATTGTGGAGTACAGATAAGACCTTTACTCCAATGTTTAATGTAACATAACAAATGAAAAGAGAAATTCAAAGGTGCAATATTTTTATTTATTACACATGTAATATGATACACAGTACTTTACAGCATATATGCTGCACTACACATTGTAAAGAAGAAATAAAACAAAACAAAAAATATATATATACAATATATATGATATACTGGGACCTAGAATACCTTTAATCTTTTGTCCCAGATGCAGAGTAAAAGTGTACAACACTTAAAACATCCTGTACTCTTATAAAATACTTAATGATATGAATAAAAAAAGAACATGCATTCATACTTTTATCTATATTTGCCAAAAGATGGCATGTAAAAATTCATATTCTGAAATATCTTTAAAAAAAAAAATTAACATGAATGTCTTTGATGTATTTAAGTGTACAAGAAAACCTAGAATGACTGTTACAATTAATTAAACTCTTTATTTAACATAAATTTTGATTATTTTAAAACAAAATGTGTATATTAAAGGGACTCCACTGAGGTTTTTAGACATGAAGGGGCTGGAAATATTTTTCCTAGATTTATGTACCAATGGATGGAAGTCTTAACCAATAACTTGTGTGCAAATTTTCATGTCATTCCCTCACACTGTTTTTCTTGTATAATTCATATTGTGCAAAATGACCCAAAAAAGGAAAAGCGTTGCAATGCTTTTCTATCAATTCCAGGTTAGAATCGCACAAAAATTGATTCTCAGTTTAATTCTGAGTATATTTCTTTGTTAACATATGCAGTATTTTCCATTTGAAGAGCTTCACTTGATATTTGTAAGATTTTCAAATTTTATGTTTTAAAACCTTTGGACCTCGGTGGAGTTCCTTTAAATATATATTTTATCCAAGTAATCAATCAGGATCTCTTTATCATAAATCATTACACACAGCTTTAATGTCAAACCTCATTATATCTCAAGTTTCATACAACTTCACCTAGACTTTGAACTCTTAAATTCATCAAAGATAAACAACAAGATTTAAAAAAAAAAGATGTACAATAAAATATCACAGTCGTTAAGTTATCACAAACTTGAAACAAGCACAGTTGTGTTATATATATCTACATAAAAACATTCATACTAATACCACTGTCCGTCAGTTAAAAATTGGCATTCAAACAACGAAAAAACTGACAAACTTATTCACCTCAATTATAAACAATGGTGTAATACTCCCTGTAAAAAAGGAAACTAAAAATAGATATGACAATAACACATCCTGCATACCTTTATAAATGCATGCTTTAATATACAAAAAAATGGAGAAAAAATAAATAATAAAAATCAATGCGACTTGAACAATGAAATTTAATCATAGTTCTTAATGTATCTGTAAAAAATAATCATCATCAATGCTGTAACAAGTACTCAACACAAAAATTATATAAATAGAATCATTTACAACAGACTTCTATAAATAGAATCATTAACAACAGGTACACCACACAGGTGAGAATACTGAATGTGCTGTAAAAAAGTTCAATTCTCAAACCTGTCTCTGTTTTTCAATAACCCATTTCTACCTACTCTTCTGAACTCAGTTTTCAGACCGAGAACCCCACTCCCCCCCCCCCAACCCCTTGATCCCTATCCACGTACTCCTCATTAACATCCTTCCAAAATATAATAGTGAATCTTAAAATAAATAATCAATTTCACTATTACCTAAATATAACTGACCGGATGACATCTTGACCCCTTGTCATCCCTAAAATTTTTATAAAGGGATAAAAATGTCTTACCTTCTAGAGGTGGAAAAGTCATGTAAAACAGGGTTTCAGAGTCAAGGGGTTTAGAAGTCACCCTAATGGGTTCCAAGTGTCTCTTATTTGCTATATACCGAACTACATCCTTTTTACATGTTTGACATAAATGAAGGGTTTTTATTCTGACATTTTTGTATAACAGAAAAAAAAACATCACAAAAAGTTTACCATACATATTTCACAGGCATATTGGAAATGAAAAGAAACCTTACACTTTTGTATAATCAAACTTTTACATTGCTTTGGTTTGATACAAGAGTTACTTTAACCAAACACCTACAAATTCTGAAACTTTGAGAAAAAAATAGTTTGGAACACTTTTGCTATTTTCAAGTAAAGCTTTGCCTTCAAGTATTCAAATAATATGTCATAAAAAGTAAATAAAATTACTTTTTTTTAATTCACAAAAAGTAAATAAAATCACTTTTTTAAAAAAATTCTTTCAACATACACATAAACATTTACATTGTTAAGACTGTGTTATCTACACATTCATATCATTTTTTTTCTCACCATAACATTCATAACTGTCCATAATATATACCCAGGAGCATTTTCAATTGCAACAATAATAATTACACATAAATATATATTTATAAAAAAAAACATTTACAATGTTTAATTGTCCAATAATCAGAACTTAAATTTGAAGACACTTTAATGAGAAACTTGCAGCATACTCGGGGGCTGGTTCCGTACATGTATAGTAGGGGTACCAGGGGCTCGTCTGTAGGAAGGTTGCGGCTGTGACATCGCCTCCTCGTATGTTTTCTGTACAAAAAAATAAAACAAACATTTTAATATATACAGGATATTGAATGAGTGTAGGTTCAATATTAAATTTATTGAACAACTTGAATTAAAATAATGCATATGGTGAGAAAAATATTATTTTATTCAAAAAATTCAGTAATGGACCTACACAAATATAATTTTCTATTTATCGCATACCAAGAATAAAAGCCAAAAAATAATTTTTCATTGATGTGCCTAAAGTGTTACACTAACATTCTGCCCGTCTTTACACTATGTTTGTATGACACAAATGATATCACGTCAAAATATATGCACAGCCATGCAATATAATTTTAATGGCCTAGTGGATCATTTATAGAAACTAACAATGGTTTACACTTGGTCATATAACATATCAATGTTGTATCTACTATATATAACCTACCCTTCTATCTTTCCTCATCTTGGCATTATAGAAGGCAGCAGATTCTGGATCATTCATCAACAATTCCATCTGTAAACGATCAAACTTCTCCTGCTCGTCCTCAAGCTGTAGAAATAAATCAATTATCACGTTCCTTCAGTAATCAATTATAAATCAATTAATAATTGCAAATCAATTATCATGTTTATTCAAATAAGTTATTTGGAAATTTTCAAATTGACACAGTGTTTTTATTCCCAAATTGTAAATTAAGAAAAAGACTAATATTTGACCTCTTTTCTTTGCAAAACAAAACTAAGCAAGTCTAGACAAAGGAAGGTTTAAGATAATCTACCTGATTTGGGTTATATGGTATAAATATGCCCGGTCTAATGCCATGACCGGCTGCTACACTAGTCTGAGGATCATCAGACTGGTTCAAGAAACTCTCAGCATACCAGTTGTCAAATTCTGCAACAAAAAAAGAAAGAGGGAGGTTATTCATGGAAGCAGTCAACAACTGATTTGCTTTTATCACGTATCTCTGAAAAATCCTAAATAACATATCTATAATAAATCATGTATAAATCTTAAGTTACCTATCTTTACCAAATCTTGTATAAATCTTAAGTAACCTACATATACCTTTATCAAACCTTGAATAAATTTTGAGTTACCTACATTTAACAAATCTTGTATAAACTTTGAGTTACCTACATGTACCTTTATCAAACCTTGTTTAAATCTTGAGTTACCTACCTTTATCAAACCTTGTTTAAATCTTGAGTTACTTACCTTTATCAAACCTTGTTTAAATCTTGAGTTACCTACCTTTATCAAACCTTGAATAAATTTTGAGTTACCTACCTTTATCAAACCTTGTTTAAATCTTGAGTTACCTACCTTTATCAAACCTTGTTTAAATCTTGAGTTACCTACCTTTATCAAACCTTGTTTAAATCTTGAGTTACATACCTTTATCAAACCTTGTTTAAATCTTGAGTTACCTACATTTAACAAATCTTGTTTAAATTTTGAGTTACCTACCTTTATCAAACCTTGAATAAATTTTGAGTTACCTACCTTTATCAAACCTTGTTTAAATCTTGAGTTACCTACCTTTATCAAACCTTGTTTAAATCTTGAGTTACCTACCTTTATCAAACCTTGTTTAAATCTTGAGTTACCTACCTTTATCAAACCTTGTTTAAATCTTGAGTTACATACCTTTTTCAAACCTTGTTTAAATCTTGAGTTACCTACCTTTAACAAACCTTGTTTAAATTTTGAGTTACCTACCTTTATCAAACCTTGTTTAAATCTTGAGTTACCTACCTTTATCAAACCTTGTTTAAATCTTGAGTTACATACCTTTATCAAACCTTGTTTAAATCTTGAGTTACCTACATTTATCAAACCTTGTATAAATCTTGAGTTACATACCTTTATCAAACCTTGTTTAAATCATGAGTTACCTACATTTATCAAACCTTGTATAAATCTTGAGTTACCTACCTTTAACAAACCTTGTATAAATCTTGAGTTACATACCTTTATCAAACCTTGTTTAAATCTTGAGTTACCTACATTTAACAAATCTTGTTTAAATCTTGAGTTACATACCTTTATCAAACCTTGTTTAAATCTTGAGTTACCTACCTTTATCAAACCTTGTATAAATCTTGAGTTACCTACCTTTATCAAACCTTGTATAAATCTTGAGTTACCTACCTTTAACAAACCTTGTTTAAATCTTGAGTTACATACCTTTATCAAACCTTGTATAAATCTTGAGTTACCTACCTTTAACAAATCTTGTTTAAATCTTGAGTTACATACCTTTATCAAACCTTGTATAAATCTTGAGTTACCTATATTTAACAAATCTTGTATAAACCTTGAGTTACCTACCTTTATCAAACCTTGTATAAATCTTGAGTTACCTATATTTAACAAATCTTGTATAAATCTTGAGTTACATACCTTTATCAAACCTTGTATAAATCTTGAGTTACCTACCTTTAACAAATCTTGTTTAAATCTTGAGTTACTTACATTTAACAGATCTTGTATAAATCTTGAGTTACCTACCTTTACCTTTAAAAAATCTTGTATAAATCTTGAGTTACATACCTTTAACAAATCTTGTATAAATGTGGAGTTACCTACCTTGTATAAGCCTCTGCCTACATTGATCAACAAGTCTCTGGCAGTACTGAACCTCAGCTTTAAGGTTCTTCAACTCATCAAAGTCATTTCTATAGTTCTGTTTCAGGTCCTTTAATCTCTTAATTTCCAGGAACTCATCCTCACTGATGACAATATCACCATCTTCGTTATATGTCGGACCTGAAATTGATAAAAAAAAAAATACATGAGGATCCAAGCTGACAATTAGTTAAAACAAAGAAGTTATAGAACTGAAAATGTGTTTTGTCATTGAAACTGATGTGAGATTCAAAGATGGCTAATCTAAAAAACATTAAGGACATTCACTCATGCAAATTATCTTGAAAATATTAAAGGGAAATCACTCTGAAAATTATCTTGAAAATAATGAAGGGTTATCACTCAACAAATTATCATGGTAAAAAAATAATGGGAATTACTCGATAAATGATCTAGAAAATTCAAAGGGCAATCACTCTGCAAATTATATGAATAATGAACTGTGAAAATCATTTTGGAAAATAACTAGGCCATTGATACGCCAATTTATCCATTCCTAGACCAATAAGTATTGAGTAATAAGTGTAAAATTTCTTGCTCAAGGAAACAACGACTCGACCCAGACAGATTTTGATTGTTTGTTTGATTTGATTTAACGTCACACTGACACAGTATAGGTCATATGGCGATGTTCCAGCTTAACTGGTGGAGGAAGACCTCAGATGCCCTTCGGTGCATTATTTCAGACAGGAACGGGCACCTGAATAGAACCACAGACGTTCTGTAAGCTAGCTGGATAGCTTCCTCACATGAAAGAATCCAAAGTCCAACCCACGCAGATAGTGATCATTATATGACTAGCATTACAAGTTAACCACTCTGCCATACCATCAAATTATAAACCACTTTTAATATCGATTTGACTATATAAAGTAACAAGATCAATTCTCTTTCCATTTACACCCTCAATTTATAAATGTAATGATCAACATCTGACCAACCTGCTTGTTCTCTGTCTTCTTTCAGCTGATCAAGTTTTGATCGACTTTTATCAATATCCACCTTGGTTTGGTTTATCGTTCTAGCTAACTCGGTATACTTCTTCTTTTTCGATGCTAAAATTTCTGTAAAACAATAAATCATGCAGGCATTAAATATGTAAGAAAACTTCATTTTGTAGACTCTGTTATGTCACGGAAGAGTGCTTCATTTTAAAGTAAATCAGGGAAAACAACTAAACTCTAGGTATATCTTCTCTTTTTTTTCCCATCTACTATATTCCTTAAAGTATATTATCAATAATTAAATTACTACACTAATATTTTTCCATTTTATTACTTAATGGAAATGCTTGGAAGACAATTTTTAACTTAAATTTATGACAAGAAAATTATGCTACAGAAACAACAGGCCTGGCTATGATACTGGTAACAAAGGTTAGTTATAGCTACTGTTAAGTTATAAACTGTAATCAGGATAAATATTTACCTTTATTTTCTACGAGAATTCTATTTATTTCACTTCCTCTTTCTTGCTTAAACTCTTCAAATGCCTTTGTTCTCTGAGGTGGAGTACTGTAAAAAGACCAGAAATGTTTATGTATTAAAACATTACCAGTGTATTTAAGTTTAAAATCTCATCACTCCAGCAAATAAACCACCTTGATGATCATGGTTATATTTCATAAATAACATAGGCCATTAAATAGAATAAATATAACAACATGGGGTAATGTCATAGAGGGAATAGCAAAATTTGAAGAACTTTTTTGTTAAAAGTAAATTTTGAAGCATTTTTTTTTTGTTAACAGTAAATTTTAAAGTATTTTTTTTGTTAACAGTAAATATTAAAGCATTTTTTTTGTTAAAAGTAAATTTTGAAGCATTTTTTTTTTTTGTTAACAGTAAAGTTTGAAGCATTTTTTGTATGAGTCACTGTTTCTATCTTAAGACAGGAAATTTACAATTACAGAAGTACATCATTAAACATACCTAGGTCTCGTCTGTCTCTCTGTGCGAGACCCGCCCGCAGAACTCGTGGGTGTGGTTCTATCCTCCTCTTCCTTACGTTCCCTTTCAAGTGGGGTATGCGGGCTCTTTATATCCCTCTCACCCTTGCCACTGTGAGCCGGACTTGCTCTACCAGCCACGGGACTTCCTCGGGCTCCGCGGCCACCTCTATCTCGTTTCTTCCTCTCGTCTTCTTTCTTCTTGAGCTGGACAACCGACGAGGGCTCTGCTCTAGCCGACCGTGGTGCCACGCCCACACCAAAACTCTGCCCGTCAGATTCTCCTACCAGTGTACCATCATCACTTATAGGAACACCAGCCTGCAATGTCAGACAGAAAATGATAACATATTTGAAACATTAACAACATCGCCTGTCAGGAAGAAACCATCAAAACACCAAATCATTTAACATCATCTATATAATGAGAGGAATTACCTATTAGTCAATGTCACAAAGAAACCAAAGTCACCTGGGATTGAAATCTGCAGGCCCAGTCTAGTTTATACAAATACAAAAACCAATTAACACTAACTTAAAACTAACAATCTTGACACAATTTGACACGATCTAATTGATTTTCAATATAAAAGGAAATATACCAAAATTAGCATAATAATAATATAAAGCAAATTTTTATTAATTATTATTTTTTCCATATTTTCAATGAATTTACATCACTCTTAAAACAAACAAAAAGAAATAAATAATCAATTTAGTTACATTGTCATTTTATTTTACTAATTAAGACATTTTAAAATTGCCGAAGAAGACTATAATCATCTAAATCAACAATGATGTATCACTTTAAATTAAATCATGCAAATAAATTCAGCAATATCAAACAAAATCCTAATTTTTCCAGCACTAGTAGTCACCACCACATGCTCTCTGTTTCTCTTTTATTTCATTCAACCCTGAAACACTGCCACATGCTCTCAGTTTCTCTTCTATTCCATTTAACCCTTAACACTGCCATATGCTCTCTGTTTCTCTTTTATTTCATTTATTATGTGGTGTAAGGCAGCCCTTGCTTTAAACTGGTGGCAAAGTTCAATCCCTTTTGGTTCCAGTATAGGAAGGATTACGGCTTTGAATTGCACATGACTGTTCATTATACCATTTAAAGGTGTTTTTTTTTCAATATATAGAAACAAACATATTAAAGATATACTATGCTCAAATTTGATATTTGAAAATATTGAATATTGCTACACTGTCTCTTTGTTAATATAAAATCAACATGTTTTGACTTCACACAACGTTAATTTGTTTATGAACACTTACACTATAGGAGGCCACAAAATTAATATATTCTAAGTGCCATTAAAAAAAATGGCAGTTTTTTTGTTTTTGTTTTTTTTTTTTTTTTTTAGAAAAGGACAAACTTTACTTGATCTTTAATAGGGAATGCAGATTCCCATACATAGTTTGTACACACTTTTTTTCAAATTAGACAAATTCAATATGAATTTTATGAATTTCAATAAAATTCTGCGCAAAGATGAGCATAGTAATTATTTATCTTCAGGATGTAATTGAACAATAATATATTCTTTGAATACACTCATTTAAATATATATCAACATGTTATTCTATAAACACAGACATTGATCATTTCTAAATATAAATGTGATACATGTCCAATTAAAGATATGTACATTTGAAATCATCTTTTACTAAATTAATTTATTGTATGATTTCTTCTCAAACTAGTTTGAAATTATTGTTAAGCGCAATATTTGTTATCCGAAACTTCACAAATGTGGATTTTTTAAGCTATTTCCCTGGTACAAACAATTTTTTACAGCTAAAGCCTCAATGTGTACTACAGTCCACACTATATATCAGTAAATATTTTAAAGTTCAAAGCTCATTTTCAAGGTTGTAACAGTAAAAATTTGTTTGTAACCCCAAATAAGCAGGGAAAAACCCAATATATATATTTTCAATATTTGTTATCAGGAACTCGGCAAATGTGTTTTTTTCCAAGCTTATCTCCCAATACAAAATTCCTGGTGCCCTTTTGGTCAACTGTTGCGCTTCTTTTCGAAGCCAAACTGTAAAAAAGTTTTTTGTACCCCCCTGATAAGCTGGGAAAAAACCAAAATATTCTTAATTCCAGAGAGTTAAAGTCTATTGTCCTATATTCAATCAGTACATATCTATTTATAGATTCTATTTATAGTTTCTAAAGGTGAAGTATATGCATAACGCTCTAGCGTGACACATATATATAATATTTATAACATGCATGTCAATATATATCTGTGCAATATAATAGATAATTTGTTTTCTAAGGAAGTGAAAATATAAACAACAAATAACATCACATTTTTAATTAGTATGTTTTGTGTGTACATATTCACAAAAGTAAGTATTCCTTCATTCCTTTTTATATATTAAACCTGTGCCTTATAATCCTTCAGTCAAATTTTATTTTTTAAATGCAGTAATGGTTTAACTTGTATTGAAATTTAATAGGAGTTAACTTTGTTACTGCACTAAAATGTCGATATATTTCTTCACAATATTATATGTTATTTTGGTTTTGGAGTGATATATGTGGATATATTACCTGTCAAGATTTTATATCACCCGAGCCGTTAGGCGAGGGTGATATTTAATCTTGGCAGGTAATATATCCACATATATCACTCCAAAACCAAAATAATAATTTTATTAACCTTCCCGTGCCGAGTTAAGACGATTTTGAAATAAATCATTGCTAATTCAAATGAAACGTCGAAATAAGATTCCCTTTAGGATACCCCTTCACCATAACATGACGTCACATAAATACATGACGTATTATCTTTCGAACATAACGGATGTAAACAAGAGAAAAGGAGTAGTCTGTTGAACGCACTTTTTTGGAATTAATATCAAGCTTTCACAAGGTCATGTTTGTTTTCTATACTGACGAGAATATGTATCATTACTCTATTTTGGTAAATATTTATCATTTGACAGTTTAAAAGTGCTTGTAAATCGGAATTTATATCGCGTAAAATCAAACCGTACGCGCATCACACGGCGCATGTTGTTTACAACGTGGGGTACCCATCGGGGAAATTTAATGTGTATATTACCCGTCTGGCTCGGTAATATCAATTTCTTTCGGGTGATCAATATCCAATCAAAAAGGCGGAAAAAATCTGGAAGGGTAATAAAAAATATTATGATGTCATCAGCTCTATGTATATCTTATCGGTGAAATTGTTAAAGAAAAAAAATATTGTGATGCATCAGACAATATTAGTCATTTTTGAAAAAAAAAATTCTAGCCTAACATCAGGGCTATTATCAGTTAGAGCTATTACATTCAATGGTAAAAAATTTGCCATGTTTATATAATTCCGGTAAGATATTATAATATAATAATTGCATGTGATAAAATAATCTCTTACATCAATTGCCATTTCATATTGACTTACACATCAAGGAAATTTTTCATCAAGCTAGCCACAGGCATGCTCAAAGACTTATTATCTAATATTTTGATATATAAATCTATATGAAGTGACAACCTATGTAAGATTTGTGATCTACTATCTCCAAACTACTGTCAATAATTGAGCCGCGTCATGACAAAACCAACATAGTGCGTTTGCTACCAGTATGGATCCAGACAAGCCTGCGCATCCGCGCAGTCTGATAAGGATCCATGCTGTTCGCTTACCAACCCTATTAAAAGTAGAGAAACTGATAGCGAACAGCATGGATCCTGATCAGACTGAGCGGATGCGCAGGCTGGTCTGGATTCATGCTGGTCGCAAACGCACTATGTTGATTTTGTTGTGACGCGGCTCAATATAACTTTCTATATCTCCAAACTAACAACTTATACATACTTTCTTTGCTGGTGATTTAACTTTTCCTCCAGCTCCCTTTTACATATAGCATACATTTAATTAAATAAATAATAACTTTAGTCTACAGTTAAACTTAATATCTTAAAGTAAAGAGTGGGGATAAAACTTGAACAATGTCTTTTTTTTTAATGAAAAAAAGAAGAAAAGAAAAAGAGCATTACCTGATAGAAACTTTAACACTTTTCACATAATATTATATTTTTAATGAAAGAGTGGAAAGGGGGTAATAAAATAAAAACTGACTGTTTCAATGGTTTTAATAAATAGAGGAAATTAATATAAACTAATTGTTCCAATTAGAACCTTTCCCATGGCTTACATTTAATTAAAAAAAAGAAAAATTCAAAACTGAGAAGCAAAAATTGCTTTATTTGCAAAAAAAAAAGGGTTAAAGAAACAGTGTCATGAATTATGGGCCCTGGATTACACCATTAAAATGCTTAAATATTCTGTCCACAAGGACAGTCCCATTCATTTTAACATTCTTAGATTTCAGGATGTTTTTTTTTTCTATCATAGATCTCTTTGAATCAATGAACCAACTTATAGCAAATTAAAAATTATATAGATACAATGCGAGAAAATGGCAGCCGATGCAAAAAGCTTGTATAGCTTGGAAGTGACAATGCTGCATGAATAAAATTACAAAATCTACATGGTGAATCAAAGGCACTGAGACACACTTCTACCACATGACTTCCCTGGTTTTCAATGTTACATTTTGTATTTCTTAAAGTTGCAAACGTAAAATTTTAACAGCGACGCAACTTTAGAAAAAATTATACAAGTCAACAAAATAAATGATAAAAAAATTTATACCAGATTACATCTTAAAGCAGATGAGCCAAAATATTTCAAGAAAATCAAATTTTAGAAAAACGTACTTATCTGCAATTAATGACTGATTTTGCAGTATTTATCAGCATATTTGTACTGCATGACTAATGCAGGAGGGGGTCTTTTGCATATTTTGATAACATTTTGGTAATAAGGAGTAACATGGATTTTAAATGGCGTTTGCAATTTCTTAATCAATTTCTTTATTCACTTTACAATGTTTTACTGTTAAATACCTTTTTTAAAATTTTCATGAAATTTAGCATGAATTTGGAGGCATGCTGAATCTTATCCAATGAAAATCAAGGTTACAAAATATGTACATGTACTATCATCGTACCTTATATCTAGTCATGTGATAGAAATGTGTCTAACATACACTGTCATCTTATATAAACTCATTAGAAACTCGTCTGAGGAGATTGTTATTCAAATAGGCACAGCGTTGCTTTGCAACATTTCAAGTACAAGTTTCTATAAGAGTCTATAGGCAATAACAGTACATGTGATATCGTATGTTTATATATACAATAGGAAAGCCTCGACAACAACAACAACATTCCAATTACTTGTGATATATCACCCGAGCGTACGCTCGTAATTGACTGATTCGACGCTTTTCTCTCTGCGACTGACTGAAAATGGCACGATTTTAATACCTTCTGAGCTAAAATGCTTACATGATTAAGTAAAAAATTGAGAAGAAAGTATATCATTAATTATTTTGAGAATGCAATGACTGAGAATGAAAAATTAAATATTATTTTTTTCCTATAGTACTGAAATTATGCCCTGAACAGACTTTTAGATACTATCTTTAATAGGACTGCAATGATAAGGTCAGACCAGTATTGCAATATACTGGGTCAACCTGAATTGCACTTTGTCGAACTACTAAATTTATTCATTCTGAACAATATTATAACAATTTCAAAAATTTAAATTAAAATATCAAAAAAAAATTCTACCAATCGTGAACATAAACTTAACATGTATTTGTTCCATAGTGATATTTCTTTATCTATCACCTGATTAATATAGGCATTAAACCATAATTAAATAATAAAAATTCAATAATCAAGGTTAGAAATGATTGGGGCATTAATTTTCTTAATAAAAGAATTAATCAAAACCGAAAATCAAATCTCTAATCATACTTTCTAAATGATCCCTAAATAATGAGAGAACATATATTTTTCATTGTACCTAACACTCACTACATCAAACTAATCAATGCACTTGTCAGTTATAACCAGGCCCCTAACATTCCCTACCCTGCGGGAATCATAATTGTAACCATCCCCTACCCCATGGGAATTAAACCAGGCCCCCTTCATCACCTATCAAGGGGAATCATAATTGTAATCATCTCCTACCCCATGGGAATTAAACCAGGCCCCCTTCATCACCTATCAAGGGGAATCATAATTGTAATCATCTCCTACCCATGGGAATTAAACCGGGCCCCCACCATCCCCCACCCCACGGGAATCATAAAAGTAGAGTCATCGACTTTTTCATTCTCAAAACCTTAGAAATGGCCCGTACTGCTGGGACAGTGGGATGTTTAAATACCCACATAAAGCCCTAGCACTGTACGGTTATTTTAACACTCTAAAACAAAATTTATTGCATTGACATTTGGGCTGACATTGGAAAGTGCAAGCTACCGTCCACGCCCCCTAGCACTGGCTTAAGCAGAATTCAACATTTAATCATTACAATGGTGAAATTTTGAATTTAGAAACATCATTTAAGAAATTGTGAATCGACAGTATTCACTATTGAACTGTATGTAGAATATCAACTTTAATCAATATTGCAATATTGACAAAATGACAGCTCTAATTTACATGGCACTACAGATATAGTCAGATGGTTAAAGTTTATATCCTCTGCTTTTACAATGGAGTTGGGTGGGGATACCTGAAGTTTACAACTGACTATTGCACAATTATCTAACAATATTTGAAGCTTCATCAAAAAATAGCCAGAAACAGATAAAAATTATAAACATAAGCTCTACATCTAATTTTACAAGGAAAAACAAAACCCTTTAATGAACAAAATCGATTTCCATTTAAATAAAAAATAATGTTACTATTTTTAGCCAGAATCTGCATACTAAGACAACACATATGCCATGTATTCAATAATTACCTGTTGGGCTGCTTGTATAGCTGAAGGGTCAGTGCGATCTATCAAAGCATACTTCTGCCGTAATCTTTCCTCTATGTCCTTATCCATTTGCCTGTACAAATAAAATACATTGTCAAAAATAATAGAGGCAGTAACAAACATAATTAACGTGATACAATAGGCTTAGCCCGTCCATGAGAAGCTTATTTCAGTTTCTCAAAATTTACAAATCTTGTTTTGTTCTTACATGATAATCAAATTGGTCAACAGGAAAGAGTGGCAACATCACAGTATACAAACAAAATCAATGTACCCTGTCTTGTTAGCCTATACAATTCAATGTGTACCTTGTCTTTCAATAATACAAGAACATGTTACTTTTAATCACTGCACCCTTCTTGGGAACCTATATATTTCAACTTGAACCTTTCTATATGTGATAAACAGGAGTAGAATTGTTTATATATACTGTGAACACTGTCTCTACATCAGTACTTCTGTAGAGCTGTTTTTCACATTTCAAATGAATTTCAAAATTTGCGAGAGAATTAAAAGAGACTTAAACCTATTGTACAAACTACCTCTATACTGCATACCCCTTTGTAAGCAACCCACTACACCCTTCCCCCTCTCCCCATGCCACCCACCAGCAGTTGTCAAATTTGCAGGCTCATACAAAATTTCAAGTCTTTTAAACTAAATCATGGTATCATTTTATCTCATAAAACATTTTGGATTTTGGTTTTTGGGTCAGAAACTTGCTTCTAGAGGCACAGATAATATGACTCAAAGTTTAATCAAATAGAAAAGAATGCTTTACTAAGAGTTAACAGTATAGGTGTTAAACAAGATTGCATTTGAGAAAAATGCTATGCCACCGCATTAATACCTAAGCTCTAGGCCTTTTGGGTCTTTACAAGAAGGTATTTTAAGTTTTTGAAGCCTTGTACCTTCAGACAATAAGATTTTTTTGATTTTTTACTATATGTATATATTGAAAATCAATGACCCCCGGGGCGGGGGCAATTTTGACCCCAGGGCTATAATTTGAACAATCTTGCTAGAGGTTCACTACACAATGTTTCATGCAAAATATCTAACCTCTAGCATTTGTCAATTGCTAGAAGAAATTTTTTTAAAGTTTTTACTATAAGTTTTTACTATATACATATAAGGAAAACCAATGACCCCCGGGGCGGGGCCGATTTTGACCCCAGGGCTATAATTTGAACAATCTGGGTAGAGGTCTACAACACAATGCCTTATGCTCTAGGCCTTTTGGGTCTTTACAAGTAGGTATTTAAAGTTTTTACTATATGTACATATCGTGAAAATCAATGACCCCCGGGGCGGGGCCGATTTTGACCCTAGGGCTATAATTTGAACAATCTTGGTAAGGGTCTACCAGACAATGCCTTGTGCAAAATATCTAAGCTCTAGGCCTTTTGGGTCTTAACAATAAGGTATTTTATGTTTTTACTATATGTACATACAGTGAAAATCAATGACCCCCCGGGCGGGGCCGATTTTGACCCTAGGGCTATAATTTGAACAATCTTGGTAGAGGTCTACCAGAAAATGCCTTATGCAAAATATCTAAGCTCTAGGCTATTTGGGTCTTTACAAGAAGGTATTTTAAGTTTTTACTATATGTACATATAGTGAAAATCAACGACCCCCGGGCGGGGCCGATTTTGACCCCTGAGGGCTATAATTTGAACAATCTTGGTAGAGGTCTACCAGACAATGCCTTATGCAAAATATCTAAGCTCTAGGCTATTTGGGTCTTTACAAGAAGGTATTTTAAGTTTTTACTATATGTACATATAGTGAAAATCAATGATCCCCGGGGCGGGGCCGACTTGGACCCCAGGGCTATAATTTGAACAATCTTGGTAGAGGTCTACCAGACAATGCCTTATGCAAAATATCTAAGCTCTAGGCCTTTTGGTTTTTTTTTACAAGAAGATTTTTTTAATTTATTCTTATAATTCTTTTTGGTTGCCATGGCAACCAGATTTCTGCATGGAATGAAATTCTTTCAACAACTTTGGAAGCCCTTCACCCAAGGATCAATCCTGCCAAGTTTGGTTGAAATTGGACTAGTGGTTTTTCACAAGAAGATTTTTTAAGTTCACTATATAATCTATATAACACACACACACACAAACAAACACACACACAGGTGAATCGCTATATGCCACCGCATCGCAGATGCTGCGGTGGCATAAAAAGTTAAATAGAATGAAAACATGTGAGAAGTTTTTTCAATAATAAAAACTTTTTACTTACTGGTAAATATCTCTAAATGCTTCAAATGTACCTTGTATCTGTCGCAAATTGATAACCTAGAAAACACAACAATAAATCCATCAAAACAAAGTTGACACAACAAAAAAGTCAAAGGTCAAAGTCAACACAACAAAATATCCCTCAGGTCAAAGTCAACACAACAGTATATCTCTCAAGTCAAAGTCAACACAACATAACATATCAGTCATGTTAAATTCAACACAATAATTTTGTGTTAAAGTCTATTCTGTCTTTGACGGCAATGGTACAATACCTATTCCAGGTACAAACATGTATTTACAGTTTTTTCTTAAAACAAGTGAATTTCCTTTTTATCTCAATTTCATTACACTATTTCATTAATCAAATTCTACAGTGTTTTTTTTACAATAATTTGCAATCACAATAACATTGATACTGTGCCAGATATAGATCAACACTGTTTTGTGATAAATTAGGACACAAAAAACACAATCTGGCTGTATGCCTGCAACAATGATATCCAATATTCCATAATATTATAACACATTTGTGTTAACTTCTCATATACAAAGCAAGTAGGTGTGTCCATGCAGTATAAGCTTATAAATCATTCCAACAATTATCATCAGGAAAAATTTATCAAAGTGCCTTTTATTTTATATATATATGAGCAGGGATCATAATCGTACTATTTAAATTCAAGAACAAAAACAGTGACAGTCAAGTTAATATAACCTTATAAAATTCCACTTACATCGATTTCATCAAGATTTCCTTCCACATACCGCCTAACTTGCTGCCGTATCTCGTACTTCTGTTGCTCTGACAACGGGTCATATGTTATCTGACTGCGATTTGTCTGCAAATAAAAATATACACATACAAAATCTATTTTAGCATTTCAACCATTGCTTCTTTTTTTTTCAAGCAAATTATCTACCTTATAAAAAAAGGGATAATTTGACAGCTTTTACAGCAGAGCATAATCACCACACGCAGAAATAATAGACATGAATCAAAAACCTAGATCCTGTAACTTAGCTAAAAAACAAATAAATTATTTATCTTAACTTGATTCTGATCAAAAGTGGAAGCTTATTTGATTTAGAGTTCTCTCCCTTGAACTAACTAATACTACAGTCTTATAGAGAAACATGGCCGTCACCTCAGTAGGGCCATGAACCTAATTGATCCCCGAGTGGACAGTCAGACTCCTTAACCATTAAGCCAATTTGAGCCGCGTCACGACAAAACCAACATAATGGGTTTGCGACCAGCATGGATCCAGACCAGCCTGTGCATCCGCACAGTCTGACCAGGATTCAGGCTGTTCGCTATCAGTTTCTCTATTTGTTATAGAGTTTGTAAGCGAACAGCATGAATCCTGATCAGAATGCTTGGATGCGCAGGCTGGTCTGGATCCATGCTGGTTGCAAACCCATTATGTTGGTATTGTAGTGACACGTGGCTCATTTCTCTATCTAAACATTTCTTACCATTCTGATAACAACTTCAAAATCCTTACACTACACGTTAAACTATTTTTTAGGAAAGCTATTAATCATTTCTGTATGATATCAACTGATGAAGCTTATTAAAGCAGAACTATTTTTGATAAATTGTGTTGGTTTTTGATCTATCTATCCAATTAATGAATGATCAAAATTTGAGAGAAAAAAAAATCCCATTATCATTACCTTAGTATCCATGTAATATTGTCCACAAACATCACTTTCAAATAGATTTATATCCATTTTCTTAACAAAATTTTCTTTATAAACAAAATTCAGTTTTGATATTTTATTAATGACAATAATCTTTTTGTTACTTAGTTTTTTTGTTAAAAAAATAATGCACAAGTCCATTAGTAGCATACATATATAATGTTTGACTCTGCAGGACATCTATTAATAGATATCTATTAACATTTTAGTTTATATCCTGATTCTTTGTTCCAAATATAATTATTTTTTATGTCAAGAAGTTTTTCCTCACACAAAAATAATTCTAAGCAATTTCCCTTCTCTTTTGCCCAAATACAATGTATATAGATTTTTTTTTCTCATGCGAAACAGTTTGGCATCACAAAATTAAAAAAACTCCTGCATTTAATATCCATCAGGGAAAAGTAAACTGATTTAAATAACCAGAGATTTTCTACACACAAAAAAAAAATCACATGATAATGAACATTTAGCAATTTACACCATGATCATGTCTCACACTGATTCATCTTAAAATAACATCCATTGATTATTATATACAATCATACATTATAACCATTTCAACAAGCAAGGTCAATTCCATTATCACAAGAATGTCCATTCCTTATAATTATCCTCTAGTCAACATTACAAGAAAAATTTCTTTCCTTTGTCTGTTAAGATTTTTTTTTTCCAGAGCAAAAAATAGTAGGACGTAACATCAGTTCAACTGAGATATAAATATTATGATACTTAGTGACTGGAAGTTACTGTATAACCATCATCTGATAGTTCTATAGCCGCAGCAGACGGGGCAAAAATCAATGTAGATTTTATACATAATTGATGGACAAACCATTAAATGTCGTCAAATCTAGAGTCAAAAGGATTTATGTCAATAACACAATAGATAACATAATAGATCTACTTTGATTTATTGCTGGAAGAATTAAATATTTATTATCTGTGTATATTTGACACAGCAGCAATATTTCATTGTTTCTTTGCATACCTGATTTCTATTCTTCTAACTAAAGACATAATATGAAATTTCACTTGAATTAATTTAAAACAAGTATCTTCATTGGTTTAAAAACATAACAAATACTCCTGAGTTACTATAGAATTTATTGACATGTTTGATTTACTCAGCGAAAGAGAAATCGAGACATTTTTAAGAAAAATGATTGAAGTGTTTGATTCATACTCAAAGCAAAAAAGTCAAAATATCATTCCCTTAAACCACTAAATATCTTAAATGGACATGTCCAATTTTTATCAATCAGGACAAAACCATCCATATTTTTTAGGGAAAATTTCAAAATATAATTCTGAATGAGAGCAAATTTCACAACATATACTGACTGAGGGGAAATTTCAAAATGTATACTGAGGAAAAATTTCAATATATATACTGACTAAATTAAGAAATAATGCAGATCTTGATCAGACAGCACGTTTATTCAATCATGGCAAGGATTAATCTACATATTATTTTTCTATTTACTCTTTTCCACCCTTTATCCTGTAATTTACCTACCTAGCAATACATCATGTGAAAACGAAAAACAATTCATTTCTGTTTTTGGCCTTTTCTATATTGTAAGCTAATTTAAGTGTTTGAACTTTATAGCATAAGCACAGCATAAAAACTTTAGCATATTTATATGTCATTGATAACAAGGAATTTTACAGCTTGTTGATTGATAAATCACTCATTTTATTTGCTTATTGTTAACCATTGACCTGTTGGAACAGTGTTACTTATTTACATTGGGGGACATTTGTAGACTTTTTAAAATTTAAATACCACCAAAATAATATGTATTCTGTAAGCAAAGCCTACATAGGAGAAATAATAATAATAAAAATAATAATAATAAAAGTAATAGTAATAATAACAAGAGCTGTCGGTAGGACAGCACGCTCGGCTATTCTAAGTACTTGATAGTAAAAGAGCCTTGATAATGTTAAATTTTTTAAGATCACAAAAGGGCTCTTTTTTTTATAAATTCATGTTATAGGCCTTATAGAGAGTCTAATTATACAGTATTGGCTTGACTGTTCGGAAGGTAATGTCACAAGGGTGTTTTATTGATTATAATAATACTAATTACCTATGAATACATAAATTTGACAGAAATGGTACAAAGGCTTCTAATTAAGATGTTTTATCAAGTAAATCACTGCTTTATTATTATGAATGCATAAAATTGTCCCAAAAAAGGCACAAACCCTTCAGTAGTAATTGAGATAACAGCTTACAAGCAAAACTTTACCATGAATTTCTAAGTTGAAAAAGGGCAGAAAAATCAGCCTAAATGCAAGATAAAATTATGGATCTTTGTCAGTGACCTACAATTATGACCCTAAATGCATATGTGAAGTTTTAAATAAATATCTTTAATAGTTATTGAGATGTGTAAAACTTGCATGTAAACATTAACCAAGAGACTAAGTAGAAAAGGGGATATGAATCAGCCTTAATGCAAGATAGAGTTATGGAACTTGGTCAGTGACATACAATTATGACCCTCCAATTATGACCCTAAGTGCATGTGTAAAGTTTCAAGTAAATATCTTTGAAGACCTTTAACCTTTAACCAAAATTTCTAAGTTTCAAAGGGGTAAATAATTCTGCAAATATTGCAGACAGAGTTATGCAATTTTGCAAACTGATGTACATTGTTACAATAAAAAAGTATTTTAAATTCAATTGAATATCTCAAGCAATAATTGAGATATTTGACTTTACAAAAAAACTTTAACCAAAATTTCTAAGTTCCAAAGGGGCATAATTCTGTCAATATTGTAGGCAGAGTTATCTAACTTGTCAATCTGATGTACCTTGTTACTATAAATAAGTATTGTAAGTTTCAATTGAATATCTCAAGCAATAATTAAAATATTTGACTTTACAAAAAACTTTAACCAAAATTTCTAAGTTAAAAAGGGGCATAATTCTGTCAATATTGTAGGCAGAGTTATCCAACTTGTCAATCTGATGTACCTTGTTACTATAAATAAGTATTGTAAGTTTCAATTGAATATCTCAAGTAATGATTGAGATATTTGATTTTACAAAAAACTTTAACCAACGCAGACGCCGACGCGGACGCTGATGCCGACGCCAACGCCGGGGCGACTACAATAGCTCTCATATTCTTCGAATAGTCGAGCTAATAATGATAATAGTAATAGTAATTATAGTAGTAATAATAATAATAATAATAATTATAGTAATAATAATACACTAAAACAATAGCATGAAATTATATTGAGGCTAAATAAGGATAAAATCTTTTATAATTTTTATATTTAAGTATCTTAAAAGCAGACTTACCAAAGTATCATGCATGGCTAGCTCATTCTTCAAGTGATTTATTTCCTTCTGTAATTTCTTAACTAACACCTGGAAAAATAAGATTTATATATGTAAAATCTCTAAAACATATTACAGGCTGTACCTGTATTTGGCTATGTCAGTATTTTTATTAAATCTTTAATTTCCATACCAAAATGGAAGATTTTACTTGTCCAAAGGGGTAAAAAAAATATTCTTCTTCAAAAGATCTGCCAGCTCTTTGCTTAGGTTAGTAAAAATGTTAAAGCAGCATGCCTCCAGATTCATTCTAATTTTCGTGAAAATTTTAAACATGTTTTTTAAAGAAAAATATTAGTTACACTGTAGACATTTGGTGATAAATAACAAGTAGAGAAACTGATAGCGACCAGCATGGATCCTGATCAGACTGCTCAGATGGGCCGGCTGGTCTGGATCCATGCTGGTCGCAAACGCTCTATGTTGGTTTTGTTGTGACGCGGCTCAAATTAAAAGTATCAAACTTACAGCAGGGTCGTAGACTTCATTTACAGTTGGTTCACTCGCCACACACATCATTCTTGTGGCAAATCTTAATGTGGAAACCTGAAAAAAAATAAAACAATAATTTCATATATTATAAGTCACCTATTAAAATTGCTTTTTCCGAGTGTCTTATTCTTTAATTGGGGGGGGGGGGGGGTGGGTCAAAAGTGTTTGTATGATTAACCTGAGATTATGTTATATATAATATTTCTTGATTAGAAGTATGGTAGATTCTGATCATCACTACGGCCAAATGTACTATCTTTATACAATTTGTATAATATACCAACTCTATTACAAGCAGAATAAAGGCTGCTTTTGTGTCATATTTTTGTGTATTTCAAGTTAAATCCACATATCATAAATGCCTTATTCCTTTTTTGTCGATTTTCTTAAAATTAATCAAAACAAGAATGAATCTCTAGGAGTAAAGTAAGTAAGTTAAATATAATTTATCAAGGGTACACATTTGGTTTTCCCAGTCTTCCATGTCGACCTCTTAGCAATTAACATGATTTACAATATATACATCTACAATACAGCTTTAATAAGGCATCAGCAATGTGGTACAATGTACACTGAAATTGTCAAGACAAGAAAAACATGGATTTCTTTAATATAAATATAACAGGGACACAATCTGTGATTCTTTATTATTTGCCATTTAGAGAGTTGTTTCCCTTGGACCAGTGTTTTTCTATGGGTTTCCTGCCAGTTTGATCATGTGACTGCTCAGTTGAGCTCACATTTTTGATGAAGGGATTTGTACATTGTCCTCATGATTTTTAAATTTTTTGTGATTTATGAAATATATTGAGTTACATAAACGATAAACTAAACAAAACGTCTGATTTCACTGCTCATTTACTAAAAGGAGGACATTTTTTCGTGAAAGTATACTTACAGTTTCTTCAACTTGCGATGATTCTCCCCATATATTTGCTATCAGTAGTGTGTTACTGCGCCCGCCGATGGAATCTTTTAGACAGTGTGTAAGTTTTGACTGTCGGAATGGAATATGTTCCCGTCTTCTATCAGCTAATGCAACGATGACTTGTTCGAGGAACGTCAGAGATTTGTTAATATACATAGCCTCCTGCTGTGTCTTACCCTCAGACTGAAATAAAATATATCATATTTTGTTTTAATATAACCACTACTAGAAGGAAAATTGTACAGTGAAATCTCCGAAGAGTGGCCCTCTGCAGAGCAAATCCTCTTTACAACAACTGTATTTATTGTTCCTTTGCTGTACTTACAGTACATTAATGCAAGACTTTAACAAATACATGTACAGTCAAAATTTCATACAAATGTATAAAAGAATTTTTAAATATCATCGTAATGTTGTTTGTCCAATTTACACACTCCGTATATATAAAGAATGAAATGAAAATTATTTTACGTCATATTTTTAAATAATGACACAATCTAGTCAGTCTAAAAAATTTGTGCCCTGGATAAAAAAGACAGATATTCCTCATACAGTCTGTCCCGTCTGTTGGTGCAAGACCCTTATATTAATCTTTAGCTTAAGATATTCTTTTTAAATAATGTTAGAAATGATATAACAAGATTTACCTTTGTTTTGCCAAGTCTCTCACTTCCCGCCAGATCAACAAAGTTGAGTTTAGAGACAGTGTATCTAGCATTGGACTGTACACGAGATCTTGTCTGAAATTCATTAAAAATCCGATAATTTATCAGTAGTTCTAGCAATTTTACATACAAAAAAATCAACACATTATGGCACCCCTTTATTTCAAATTACTATAAAGAAGTTATAATATTTCTTAAAGAAAATCCTAAGATCAAAGAGAGATAAATCTGTAAATATTGCTACAAGAGTTATATTAAACATTGTCACATAAAATGTAATTGATGATATGGAATAACAATGTTTTTTTTTCTTTATTTAACTACTACCCTAAAACAGTACTGTTCCCAATAGAAAATAAACATTAAAATTCACAATTTCCAATGTTTAAATTTCCAAAATGGCTGTTCAAAATTCCCCAAGGACAAGTGATTTCTCTGAAATCATTTAAATCCAACATATTCATATAAATCACCACTCAATAGTTTACCGGGAAAGTGGAAGCATTAAAAAATAGACCATGGACACTTAATGCAATGTAATTTTAATGCAATGCCATGGACAGTTAATGCAATGTAGTTTAAATACATTAAATACTTACCTCTATGTAGACTGTAAATATACAGTGTGATCTAGATGACCTGGCATTTAATGTGTGGGATGCTATAGCTCTGTTTGTCTCCCCCTGTAAATTACAAAAACACATGTACATTTTATAACCGTCAATAAAACTTATCCTATTCTATAAATGAGCCGTGTCAAGACAAAACCAATGTAATGTGTTTGCGACCAGCATGGATCCAGACCAGCCTGCGCGGATGCGCAGTCTGATCAGGATCCATGCTGTTCGCTATCAGTTTCTGTACTTGTAAAAGAGTTTGTAAGAGAACAGCATGGATCCTGATCAAACTGTCCGAATGCACAGGCTGGTCTGGATCCATGCTGGTCGCAAATCCATTATGTTGGTTTTGTCGTGACGCGGCTCATATGTAGTAGATATAATATTAGATAATACTTCTACAAGAGGGTTAATAGAAAGAAATAGAAGTTTAATGTAAAGCTCAGGACAACCTAGTATCCACACGTTGAGGAAAAGAATGGTTCACAACCCATTATAATTAAGCATATCCACAACACTGCTCCTTTTAAACAATATCGTGTCTATATATTCTTCTTAGGATGAATCAAACCTCCCTGTACTGTAACATTTCATATGAGCAATATAAGCAATTGTTGCCAAACAAAAAAGTTGTAGACAAAATGTGCCACATCATGACTTCATAACTTGCCAGGAAAATAATTAATATAGACCCGACACACTATCAAATGAATTAAACTGAATAATCAGGTATAGTATTACATTTATATATAAAAGACTTCGGTTTGGTCTAGATGAAGATTGAGAGAATGTATATGAGCCGTGTCATGACATAACCAACATAATGGGTTTGCGAACAGCATGGCTCCAAACCAGCATGCGCATCCGCGCAGTCTGATCAGGATCCATGCTGTTCCCTATCAGTTTCTCTACTTGTAAAAGGGTTTGTAAGCGAACAGCATGGATCCTGATCAGACTGCGCGGATGCGCAGGCTGGTCTGGATCCATGCTGGTCGCAAACCCACTATGTTGGTTTTGTCGTGACGCGACTCAATTATAATCATATCATTAAAACAGACAGATAATCTCACTTACCTCAAATAACAAGTTAAGGGCCTCCTCCTCATTCTGTACGAGGTGACACGACAATCCTTTCACATAAATACCGTCCTCATTCTCGCATATTGTCATTGGCTGGTTCTCATTCAGCTGGTTCCATGACTCGGGTAACGTTGAAAGTAGGTCAAACATCGTCTCATTGTAGATTTCTATGTAAGATATCCTGAAAGAGACAATTGAATCAAAATCCATCATTTAGCTGTTACATATTAAAGGTATATATTAAGACTTTTCTCAGTGTTTGATAGTAAATCAATAGCCTGGATTGTGTAGAATTTTCTAAATTCAAAAAGGGCCACAATTCTGTAAAAATTGATGTTAGAGTTATTGTCCTTGGATAGTGATTTCCTATTATGTTCTGAAATAAGTGTGAGAATTTTCAAACCATTCCCATAATCCTTACATGCTGAAAAACTACTGTATTCATACTATGTAATATTTATTAATAAATAATGTTTAAACTTAACTAAAAACCATTAATACTGGACTAAATAACCTGTCAAAATTCTTTTAAAAAGCTAATGATATGCAGAGCCTTCTCTTATTTCTATAAATCTACATAAACAAACAATAACATGTTTGTAGGTTTCAATTTATATACGGCTATTGAATTAATTAATAATATTTTTCGTGTCTTATAAACTATGCATGTTCTTATGTTTATCCTGAGCTTAACATCATATCTCATTTCATTTTTTGCTAAAAGAAATCTGGATAGTGGCCAAAGTAAAGCAAGTTTATTTCATGTAATATTGTTAATAGATTTAGGATAGAAAATCAACAATAATACATGATTTTTTTAATGTAATATTGTAAAAGACTGATATGTTTTACCATATGAATTATAAACACAAGAAATAAATATGATAGAGGGTTATAAATTGAGGGCTTGGTACAATAAATTCATGTAACATCAGAAAGGAGTTACAACCACTTTGCACCAAGTGTATAAACCTATATACTGCAAAAATTACTTGAATATTTAAAAAAACAAAACTTCCAAAATACAAGATGTGTACAAAGATGTATGGCAAAAAAAACACATTCAATAAAAAAATGCTCTTACACAGGTAAGTCTGCCATTTAAAATATACATGCATCTACCCATTCTTTTTCTGTTTTCTTGTATAAATGATATTTACCTGCATGTAATAGCAAACTCAGGCCTATCTTCAATTTCCTTGAACAACTGAGAAATTGAGCGAGGTATCATTCCTCGATGAGCGTAGTTCTCGGTGGCTCCAGTCATTGTGAATGTTTTACCTGCACCAGTCTGTCCATAACACATCATAGTTCCTACATAACATCAAATGTTAAGATATCGTAACATGTAAATATATTGGGTTTTATTACAAATTTTCTATATTGAAAAAAAAATATTCTAAAACCTATAGTATCATCTTGATCTACATTTATGTTTATGTTCGCTAAAATGTCACATTGGTGTTACAGCTAAAACGTATGTTACATCACTTTTTGTATGTTGTTGGTTTTCAATTCTGAAGAAGACGTATAAAAGTCGAAACTAGTACAATGTGTTGTTTTGATTTTTTTCATTACAAAACAACAAGAAACATAATGTTATGTTGTTGTTTGGCTTTTTATTAACACTGTTATATTATATAACACCTTCCAAGCTCCAAGAAGATCCATGGTACAGGTCTTACTATCAAACCAACACACTGTTAAAGTAATTAAACATTCTACTACAGGATTTTAGATATCTGTTTACACACCTGTTTATGTATACAAAATATAATGAATTTATTAGGAAGCACTTACCATTGTAGCCATCAAGTGCTGATGTGACAATATTTGCAGAAACTGTGTCAAACACCTGGTCTTGTGTGGCGTTATGAAAGATACCATCTAGACGAAACGACCAGTCTTGAATCTGATTGTTGACAACTCCCTTACGTCCATCTTTCATTACATGAACATTCACACTCTACATATAAATAGAATACAAGTTTAACGATTGGCTTGCATATACAATAATTCTCAGATTTGATCTAACCATTTTCCTTTTTCTATAGATTTTTATTATAAATTGTTCATTTAAATATAAGAGTGGCATAGTATAATTATTAGCTCTTCTTTTAAAGACCTCTTGTTTTCAACAGGACATACATGATATAGTATTATTTTAAATTTTTCATATAAAAAAAAAAATTTTTAAAAAATTATATTTTTTGTGCAAACATCCCCGCCCCTGGCATGATTTCCAAAGTTACCTGGGCAAAAGTGTGTAGGTCTGTTTCTGGCCTACTGTACCCTTTTTCCCTTTTAAAAACGGGGGCTAATTTTCTGCGGCTCCCTGCTTCCACACTCATTTGAGCTCACACGACTGTATTTTGATGGACTGTACATAATTATGTCCTCCCTGTAGCTGAGGGTAAACTACCCTAAAATTCAAGAAAATCTTGAGTTAAATTTATTGATAGAATTATTCAATAGAATAGAAGTTTTACTAAGGTGATATTCACATTCAGCTTCCTGAATTGCCTATGAAACCCAAGGGAAGTATTCTTCTAAGGAAACTTATTTGATTATGCCTAAAATAACAAAATTCAGAATAACAGTTAGTAACAATATACATGTAGTAACAAAATGCATGCAGACTCATTTAATTCTGGGGTAGCCTAATTAATTCAGCGTGAACGGTTTGACTCAATAATTTTACAAACTTTTTTTCCAACTGTCAAACCGGAAAAAGACATAGGCCCTCCAAAATTATTTTGATGTCTCTTTGACAAGTCTAATACTGGGGTAAACTTAAGATTCTATCATATAATCTGATTCAATCAATGGTCTTCTGTTATGTTTGCAAGCAACGGTTCTTTGTAAAAACACTTATTCGGACCCAGCCTTAAAAAATATGTCTTTTTTAAGGTTTTTTCTGATGTTTCATGCAGGGTACAGATTCAGTCCTCTATAAATTGTAAAATTGTTTCCACTTGAGACTCCACAATTAAGGAGACATTTGTTTTAGCCCCAATCTAATTTTGCTAAGGAAAAATCATTGAAGCAATATCCACTTTTTAGAGGAGAGTCTTTTGTGGATCATGTTATTGAAGTTAATGTTTTGGGGCTGGAGTTGAACTTTGAGTCCATAGAGATGCCTGTCAGTTTCATACTCCAATTAAATTTATCTGGAGTAAAACTTCTTTCATTTCAAAATCTTTTTTGCTAATCTATTCTTAGGTGTTATTTTACACACATTACCAAGAAGATCAATTATTACACATAAATAAAACATTACCTGGTGCAATTTCTTCTCAGATAGACTGGCAAATTAAACGATGCAATATTAATGAGAACAAATTGCTCTCCACTTTGTTTTCCCAGTTGTCATGTGCACTGCGCATGCCCAGACACTCAGTGGTTCCCTGCTTTACTTCTATAAACTCGCAAGGCTGTGACTAAAAAAAGGATTGGAGCACCACACTAAATACCGTATTCCGGTATATACCGGACAAGGCGCTTGAATGATAAAATGCTGAAATCTTGCCTTTTTACCCAACGGAATGAACTAAAACAGGTCTAATTCATCTTATCACACCGAATTAAGTGCGATTATGAAGAAAAAATGTAAAAATATGCGAAAAAAACTATATTTGTCTATTTTGTTATCATGATTTCTGCAAGCGTCTAGAGGTACTGCTCCAATCCTGTATTGAGCTAAATCCAACTCCTCTCCGCAAAACCTCGTTAAAAGATAAGATCCAATCACTGGACGGACGTACGTCAGGGCGGACCATGGGACAGGACGGGCCGTATGTTTGGACGGGGCGGACCATATTTTGGGACAGGGCGGACCGTGACTCGAGACGAGGCGACCATGTATATTTTCAAATTAATATTACTATTTAATTTTCTATATATATTTCGGCATCATTATCATCCTAAACATGTCGTATATATAAGCATTTTCATATTGAACAGATTTGTATTTAAAAATCTAAACATCGGTCTAATACTAGTTAGATCTACATATGTATGTATTAATCATGTGCACACGACATAAGGCGGATTTTGGATTAATCTAACTTTATATTTAATATTATAGATATTGACCCATACAATTATATGTATAGAATAGCACGGGGAGGAAGTGTTACACGAAGGATGGATCGAGTTCTTATGATAACTTGTTTAGAGTTCTTATGATAACTGCCACGGAGTTCCTGGAAAATGTTACGGATTTCTGTGGAAAACTTTTCTATGTACTTGAAGAACTCGTGTGAAAAATGGTCATTTTTACCTTTAAATGGGGAGTTTGGGGTGCTTAATTAAACTTTGATAATTAAGCTTGCCCTACATATTGTTTTATGTTTCAGATGAACCTTTAGTCCATTTTTCATCGCCTGTGTTTTAAAATTCTGGTAGTTTTGAGTAAAATTTCCAAACTACTTGCTCCTTCGTACATATTGACCTTTTCATTTGTGATCTTCTTCGTTGCTATACTTAATTTCCTAATAATAGTGGAGAGTTGCAAACATAAAGCCCAGGCTAATAGATTTATAACCTATTTTTCAAATGTCACGAGTTCTTGTGATAACTCAAAATATGTCCTGGAGTTCTTATGATAACTTTTGTTACTGACAGTGTGTTTCTTGCGCTTAATTACGGCACGTTTAAGCGTATTTTATTATCTAATAAGTGTTTAAATCGTATTTTATTATCTAATAAGTGTTTAAATCATTAAAGGTCGCTGACTTCCAACCACTTGCCCCTCACCGCTGTGGGTTCGAATCCCGACAGGGACTTAGGATTCTTTCATGTGAGGAAGCTATCCAGCTAGCTTACGGAACGTCGGTGGTTTTACTCAGGTGCCCGTGCCTGAAATAATGCACGGAAGGGCACCTGAGGTCTTCCTCCACCAGTAGAGCTGGAACGTCACGATATGACCTATACTGTGTCGATGTGACGTAAAACCCAAAACAAACAAACAAAACATCATATGTAACGTAATACGCTCAGTCTTAACACAAAAATTGGTTATATAATGTTGGTTTTGAGCGTGTTTTAGTTCAAAAGATATTTTTCTAATCAAATTTGTGCGAATTCATATTGACATTATAAAACCGAACGAATGCACTAAATGTTTCTGTGTATACTGTTCGTCAACTATAGTTTTATGTCATATATTGGAAATGTTAACTCTGAATTTACAGCAACTACAGAAAAATATATGAGTCGAATAATAGACATGCATATCGTTATTATGATGACAACGTTAAGTTAATATGCGGTTTTTAGAGAACTTGGAGTGTAAATAATTGTGCCACGTAAATTTATTTGGTAATTGTCATTTTTTTCAGCATTCGGCTGTCAGAAAACCCAGAAAAGAATAGATTGAACATGAAACTGCTTTGGTGTACAGTCTACAAAGGATACACAGGTGATAAGCTATCTACAGAAAAAATCTGAATCAGCAGTCACCTGTATTCAGCAGTAACATGGCGTAAACCGCCAAGCAAACATTATTAAAAACTTACACACTTTTCTCAGTCGCATGTTTAAGCAACCGCCTTTCTTAAGCAGACAATATATTGTTGGGCTACCCAAGTAATTTGTATCTTTTTATACCTCAAACAATAAGTATCTAACCGGTATACCATTCACACCCATGCACGTGAAATGTGTGGTTTTTTTATACATAAAAAATCAACCGATCACTACCGATTTCTTCAACAGATTTGCACGTGCCCTACGGGTTCGAGCGAAAGAAGTTCGACAATATATTTTTGTAATCAACTACAGTAAAAGTTGTTGCAGAGTTTCCACAACTAGGATTATATGGAGGTGGTGACCGAAGGACTCCAACTTTGATAAGAAAAATGTATGCAATAATTTTCCGCAATATGGAGATTTCTGTATGTCACGTGATGCTACATTGGATTTAATATAGAAAGGAACAAGGTCGATAAACGGCAAATAGTTTATGGTGACTCACATATATTATTAAAGACTTACTTTCCATTGTCATATCGTCGTCATAGAACTTTATACGTTTCTATGACAAAAACTGATAAATTTTAAAAATTAGAATATCCGTTGAATACCTAAAGATGACACCCACCTCAATAGATTTAGATAAAAGTAGTGCATACTTCTTCCTATTTTGCTACAAACCATTTACTGTAATTTGTTTCGGAGTTACTAAATGCTCTCTAAAACTGCCAGGAATAATGTATACATGAAAAAATCATGCTTGAGTATTAAATTCAAAGCGTATTATTATCCTGCAAGTCAATGCTCTACATCATGTATGTTTTCATTCATTCAAATAAAATATAGAAAAAAACAACGAACAAAGAAACACAAAAAAACAAACAAACACAAAAATACAAGAAACGGAGGTAAGAAAAATGAGCCGCGCCATGACAAAACCAACATAATGGGTTTGCGACTAGCAAGGATCCAGACCAGCCTGCGCATCCTTGCAGTCTGATCAGCATCCATGCTGTTCGCTATCAGTTTCTCTACTTGTCATAGGGTTTGTAAGCGAACAGCATGGATCCTGATCAGACTGCGCGGACGCGCAGGTTGGTCTGGATCCATGCTGGTCGCAAACCCATTATGTTGTTTTTGTCATGGTGCGGCTCAAATATGTTTAACTGAAATACACTGTAAAACAACGTTATATAACCAAATTTATGTGAAAATGATAAGCGTGATATGCTTCATAATGATTTACACTTATTGACTAATAAAATTCGCTTAAACGTGCCGTAATTAAGCCAAGAAACACACTGGCAGTAACAAAAGTTGTATCATAGTTTGGGGACTTTTCTGTTGAAAAAGTGTCAGAGTTAAATCGTATACATATACACGCACAGTGCGGTAACTGGAGTGCAGGTATCAGTTACCCGCACTCCAGAGCATGCCCGCTGATTGGCTCATTTTTGCTGGGGTTTACTTATTGTGACGGCAGAGAA